CCCCAAAAAAAAACGTGAGTTTCTATTTCCATAAGTCGTAGCCAAGGTGGTTTTTTCAAACAGCCCCCAACTCACTCACATACCTCTTCCTGGGTCAAACCGGGGGGGGTTTCACCTCTGTTTTTCGTTCATTCCCGGACTGAATTAATGTCTTTTCTGCCTTTTCCGGGCAGCACTTTGTGAGCGAGCGCAAGTACGACGAGGACCTGGGCAGGGTGGCTCGTTTCAGCTGCGACCTGGAGGCCCTGAAGAGGAGCATCGCCTCCTTCGGCCAAGGTGGGAGTCAGGGAGGAGCCCGTCGGTCTCCCCCAGCACCAAAACCCTGCATATTTACCCTGAAACTGAGCAGCAGCAGCAGGACTGTGAAGGTTCCAGTCAGGGCGTTTTGTTCCCTCTCTAAGGAGCCAGCCCTTCCTCATGTTGTTCCTCCCCTGCCAAGGGAGGGCTGTGCCCCTTCCCCGCGCTGGTCCCAGTTATCCAAACCCTTGGTGTTGGTCACACAACCAAAAAAAAAAGCCAGAAAAAGCTCCCTTTGAGCCTTTGGTTGCAGTGACACACCCCCCGAAGCAGTGCTGTTGCTGGCTGGGTCTGGAGGGCGACCCCTCTTGAGTCCTGTCTCCAGAATATAACATTTTTGGGGGTATTTCTCTTCCAGTTTCCCACCCAAAGAACAGCTACTCCACGCGCTCGCGGTGCAGCTCGGTCACCGCCGCGTCCCCCAGCGAGACCTCGGCTCCCTCCACCCCCTGTGCCTCTGCCTCTGCCACCAGCCTCACCACCACCACCAAGAAACCCCCCTCCCCAGCGGAGGGGAACACGGGGGGCCGCCCTCCCCAGCCCTCCCGAGAGGTAACCTCTCCCTGGCAGGACCCTCACTCCCAGTTTTGGGGTTCTTCTGGGGTCCTTTGGGACTCACCTGGGGCTGGGGAGCTGTGGGGTCATGGAATCAGGGAATAGTTTGGGTGGGAAGGGATCAATCACAGAATCACAGAATCTTAGTGGTTGGAAGGGACCTCTGAGATCATAAAAGCCAAACAAATACAAAACACACCACAATCAATGGACCATCTAGTCCCACCCTCTGCCCTGTGGAAAGGGAAACCACCCAGGAAGGGGAATCCTGAAAAAACCAAGGAAAAGCTGGGGGCTGAAACAGGAACAGATTTAATAGGATGGTAGCAAATAATTAACGTCACTAACACCAAGGGACGTTGCATGAGGGTTTGCAGTGCTTGTGCAGAGAACCATAGGATCACAGGATGGTTTGGGGTGGAAGGGACCTTAAAGCCCTCCCAGTGCCACCCCCTGCCCTGTGGACACCTCCAACCAGACCAGGGTGCTCCAAGCCCCCTCCAACCTTGGCCTTGAACCCCTCCAGGGATGGGGCAGCCACAGCTTCTCTGGGCAACCTGGGCCAGGCTCTCACCACCCTCAGGGGGAAGAATTTCCTCCCCAGATCTCGCCTCAATCTCCCCTTTTTCAGTGTCAACCCCTTCCCTCTCCTCCTAGGGCTCCCCTCCCTGATCCAGAGTCCCTCCCCATCTCTCCTGGAGCCCCTTGAGGGACTGGAAGGGGCTCCAA